AAATTTTCTTCTATGAGGGGTAAAGGAGCAACAACTTGTGCTGCATTACCCTCCAATATTATCTTTAAATAACAGTCTTTCCACATTGTTCAAAGAATTATTTTAATAGGTACCGTTTGAAACAATTCTCCCAATTTTCCCAATGCATTGGGAAAATTCACTTGAGAATTGAATCAATTCTATTTTTACTGCAGGCTTTTCATGTTTACTCATAACAGTTGATTGTTTTCATTTATCTTTATTTGATACAGCTAATGTTCTTCTTGCATCTGAATTTGCTTCAACCAATCTTAATGCCTTTTCTAAATTGTTACAAAAGTGCATCTAAAAGCAAGCAGTTTCTCTTAACATCTACAACCTCTAATACTTGGAATATTTTACAACTCCTCTAATAATTGAAATTTGTCTATTTTGAGATGAAGTGCAGGAACCCTATTTAGGTTTCCATTCTGATAAATATTTATAGAATCGAGTTCCAAAGCTAAAGAGCTTTGATAAAGCATCTGTTTTTAATTAATTTTTGAAGCCTTTGATCAGGAATTTTTCTCTCATCTTCACTCATTTTGAAAATTATACAATAAATAAATTAAAAACAGTAAAACTCAAAGTTAAAACACAATAACATGAGAAACACTGTGTAATGGCACTTACAAAATACTATACCAACATAGTTGACTCCTGCTTCATTTCAACATGCTTCCATAATGACTTGTTTGAAGTGTAACAAAATTTCAATTTAAACCCTAAGCAAGTCTTACAACCATCGAAGAGTCCCCCATTCCACTACATTTTTGTTTTATGACTCTTCTACTCCTAAACACCATTAAATGTGCAATATTGACTTCACATCAGCCGCGAGAGGGTTTTGTAGTGTTAATGAAAGTGAACCGTGTAGTGTTAATGAAAGTAAAGCTTGTAGTATTAATGAAAGTGAAATGGAGACTGGAACGTTGGTTTATTAAGTTTCTTGCTTAGACTTTTCACAGGTTGTTTTGCACTCTTATACACTTTGTAAGTTACTTAGAACACATTACCTTGTAACTTGCAACACTGGATACGCTGAAGCACTGGCTGGCATGACACCGTCCCACAAGTTTGTAATGAAACTTTGATGAAATTGTGTTCTGGCCGTGGTCCGACATCATGCTCCTCTGCTCTCGTACGAGAACTGAACGAGAGGTTTCGGGGCTTCGGGATCCGAATCATTGAAGGTCGGGAACGAATCCCTATTACTCTGAACCCTGTGTTTTGATTGGTCGAATCACGGATTCAACAAATGTACACCTTTTTAATTGAAATCCACACGCACTTGAAAATTGACCAAATTTTTTTGAAAACCACAGCCTATGAACTGAAGAAATTAACTTCTTCGTAGAAATCTAGAAGAGATGGATGTTCGTAGAATGATCAATATGTAAACACCAAGCATTTTAATACCGTATACCCTTTCGTATTTAGTTTTCCTTTTTATTATGACCACTCGTTTGACACTTTAGAGCAGATAACGTTAACGGTTTTATTATGGGTTAACCCTGAAACAATAAATATAATCGTATTAGTAGAGCCCAGTACTTTGGCAAAATTCATTTTTATTTTTATTGTTACGGTTTTATGACTTTAACAACAGAAATCACTTAATTGTACTTCTGGAGTCGTTTTAGTACATTTTCATTTTGCGCTTTTTAGCTACTGATGCCTATTTTTGGAACTTTATCGTATTCGTGCCCTTTTTGCCCTTTTCGCCGTTATTTTACCTTTTCCCTCGTGCAACCAATCTCCATCTAGCTGGAAACATTCTTGCAAGCTTGTAAAACATGAAGGCACGGTCGTGTGCGGTCTTTCTGTGCACGCGGAGGCTCCAGTGTCAGGATGTGTTATAAATCTAAGAAGGAAAGGAAGATGATACTAGTGAAGATTTTGATATTTTTATTGGTGCTGACATACTTGTTCGCTCACGAGAAATTTCAACTATGTTTGTGTATAGCCTCAGAAACCTTTTGAAGACAGAGCTGTCTGTACGTGATATACCCTTCTCAGTTACTTCTTGTTCTCTCTTCCCTGCTGACGATTACACAAGTGTGAAGAACGAAACCTATAATTCCGTTTTCAGTTAAACCATTTCAAGATTCAAAAGGGAGTACACAATAGCAATTCGTAAAGACAGCGTCGCTAGTAAAATAAATTCGTACCGGATGGCCAGATGCAATGAAGATTACAAAGGTAATTAACAGTAAATAAATTATGCAGCTGTACTGCAATCTGCTAAAAGAGCACTATCTCTTTGTTACCAATCAAACCTTGTTTCCTAACTGATTTCTCATTAATCGAGAAATAATTCAACGCGATATAAACATTCTCGTTTATCATAACACTTAACACTGTCACTTTAAAAGACATGTGCTTCTGGATCTCGGTGCTTGGTTCTCGGATCCCGGTGTGTGTCTCATGAAGTAGCAGTTCCGCGATGCGTGTAAAGAAATTAATGTGTGCTAGATATGAATGTGTAAACAACGTGTGCAGCAATCACGAGCATATGGAAGCATGCAGGATGTAAGTATTATGTGCAGCAACCCTTAAATCTACGAATGATAAATGAAATGTGTGCTACGTTGAAGTTTAAAGCGAGGAAGTACCGCAAGGGAGAATACACTTGTAGGATGTCTGCAGGGTGTTCTGTGTTGTGTCCTTTGTGTGTACAAAAGTATCCAAACTAAGTGTTTAGGAGAAGTGGTTTGCTGTACAATATCAACTGTTTGTTGTTTAAGTGAACAGGAGCAGTACACCGAGAGAAAGAGACGTAGTGCACAGCTACTGCACAGTTCACACCACGATTTTCCGCAGGGGTGGCATGACGGCTTGGCGTAGTGTAGCATAGCGTTACATGGTCGTGGCATAGCTTGGCGAGACGAGGCATGGCTCGGCGTGACGTGACATGGCCATAACCTTTTGGTGCCGCCGCTTCTAGGTCTTGGCTCCGCGTGTCGCCCGCGTGCCCTTTCGCCCAGCAGCCCTTCCGGGCTCCGTCGGAGGCGCCGCTGGACGCGTTGGCTGGAACAACTACTATACGCGCAAGTTTTCTTGATATTCCACAGAGGGGGGTGCGGGGAGAGGAGGGCTCTGGCTACGTCACGGCTTAAAAGGGCGTACCAACTGTGGGCATGATCTTAACTCGCCAAAGCGTGCCACGATAAATACTACGATTGTTTTGAAAGTACGATCTGGTTGTTGAGAGCATTGTAAATTGGTACGTGCAGTTCCGAGTGGAACTTACGTATCTCAACGTGCTATTCAGCGCTGGGTGAGAACTACGGAGCTCGTGTATCAAAAAAACTTGCGCAAGTAATACAGCTTCCACCAGATGTTTCTCCAATCGGGGCCCATGCTCCTGCCCGATTCGCTCTCCTGGCTTTGCTGCGTCGACTGGGCTGTCTCTAGCGAGTGACCCTCAAGCAAGGGGTGCGAGTCTCTATCGCTGTGACGACGCAGGGGCAGAGGGGGGCAGCCCCGCACACAACCGGTCCCCAGTGCTACTGGCGTCGTTCATGGCCTACACCAGGGCATTGCAACTCTCCATCAAAACAGGGGACAAAGCTCGAGGGTGCTACTCTAGGAGGCGCTAGTGTCGCCAGGTCGAGCTGCAGGTTAGGCGCGCCAACTTTCGTACATAAAAAATGTCTAATTTGTGGGAAATAGGAAAAGTGTCTTTTAAATATTCAATTATTAATAATATACACATATAAGAAACCCCTGAAGAAAACGCGAACATCAGCACTATCTTTTGTAACGTTATGGGCCTGCTTACGACCCGCGAACTCACGCAGGTTTTAAGTGGGGTTGGCAAGCGGTTAGTGTTTTAGTTCCTGTAAGAAGGTGATGCAACTGAGTGCGCAACCATAATGCTTTCCACCACGTTCTAGGGGAGTTTTAAACCCTGGCCTACTCGCTGTGACCACTGTGCTCCTGGCTGTGACAAGCAGAAGCAACCAGACGAACCCGGCTCCCATGCTCATCCCTATACACTATGTGTGATTGATCTGATTTGATCACACGGGACAAAGAAATGAAATAAATACATTTTCTTCTCTGACCCCATATGTGTCTGACCTGAAACTTACCTGAAATGTTAAACAAGAAATCGATTTTCTTGGGTGTGCTTGCCAAAAAGATTCAATCTGTATGTTTTGTTGTCACACTATGATCAGTTTGATTTGTGCTTCTTAGTCTCTTTTACAGTACCATTTTCACCATAGAAAACTTCTCGAACAAATTTCACGTTATTTACAAACTTCAATTCATCAAATGTGAATTTTATGATACGAATGAAATATAATTGCTTAAACTTATTGGGGCGCCCATGGGAGATATTTTCACGTCAACATTTTTATCTGTACTTTGAAATACATAATAAAAATAAATTTTAAACAATTCAGATACCCAGCTAGTCCATTTTTGAGCATAGAACGTTACGTAAAAGATATCGATTAAAATTCTTTTTAATTGTTTCTTTATTACAAAGTTTAGTTTAATTATCATCAATCTGATAAATCAAATCGTACCAATGCTGGAAAAATAGTTAAGCAATTCATAGCGATTTACCAATGTGTACACAGGTGCACTGAAGTAATAAAATAAATCATGCGTTTTTCTAGAATATTTTAAATATTCTTGATGAAACCGGCTAGTCATTTTACCATTTGATTTATCTTATTGGGAGGATTTGAAAGAAATATTGATCAGGTGTGTATGTGCTGTAAGTCATCAAATGATACAAAATTTGTAATGACAATTATTTCCAGAAGGAAGGTAACAAAAAAATGCAAGTACAATTTAGTATGATTACATCTGCCTTTGATTTTGTGTATTTTGTGTTGCATTAAGGTAACTTACTGAAAAATGATCTTGAAAATTTGTGTCAGTATAGTAAGTATTATCATAAGATGGGAGGAATAAGCAGGGAGTATAAGGATTGGAAGTGATGAGATGTTTTAAAATGAAGAAAATTTTAACTTAATCAGAAGTCATATATTTCCCTTCCCTTTAGGTACATAACTTAATAATTATTTACAACCCTATTATTTTATATAACATTTTCCTTAATTACAGTATTTCAAACTACCAATATCGCTCTCCCTGCATGTGATATCATAGTCTGATATGGACATTCACACTCACTCACATGAACAAAAATTAACATTAAATCTGAAAAGATTTATTTCCCTAAAAATTCTCATTAGTCATGTTTTGGAAAATATCACCACTGTATTTCAGATTTCACAATCTCTTCCCCTAAGTTTCTTTCATTTTTTCATTTGTAAAAAATATTGACTTTACATTAAATAAATGTTTATGCTTAGATCACGTGGTTCATTGAACAGCGAACAGCGGGCGCACCGTTTCCCCAAACATTGGAAGTTCGTTTATCAAAGCACTTGGAGTTTTTTATTGTTCACAGTCCGTGAGAGGGAACGCGGTGCGCCGGGTCTGGGGCGCCCCCGGACGAGGACCCGGGTTCGATATCACAGCACGAACGTGACGTTGAGGGTGGCCAGCTCCATGGGCCGCAGCTGCAGCTGGTCCAGCGCCTTGAGCTTGGCCTTGGCGTGCAGGCCCGTGAGGGAGGTGTGGGTGAGCGCGTGCAGCTTCACGTCGCGGAACATAGTCCTTGGGTGGAAGGCGAGCGACGGCCCGTCGCCGCCGCCGGGGGCGGTGCCCTTGAGCGAGCACTGCGGGACCACGACGCCGGCGCCGGCGCTGCACGCGAAGCCCTGCCGGTGCAGCACCAGCAGCGCCGACCACGACGGGAACTGCATGTACGTCGAGTCGGACAGCGTGCGCAGGTTGAGCAGGTGCACGTCGCACGGGAAGGGGCGCGTCAGCAGCTGCACCTTCTTGTGCAGGTCCAGGTCGCGCCCGTCCGAGCCCTTGGCTGCCGCCGCCGCGCCCGCGCTGCCCCCGCTGCCGGTCGCCGCAGCCGCCGCCGCCGCCGACTGCCCGCTGCTGCCCCCGGGGTCCGTGATGCCCTCCACCACGAACAGGTTGGCCGGGTAGAGCAGCCCGTTGGACAGGTGGTGCGCGAACAGGCTGGGCCGCGAGTACTTGTCCTTGGGGTCGCCTTCGGTGATCTCCTCCAGCAGCAGCCAGAACTTGGTGAGCATGCGTTTGTTGTCCACGATGCCCTCCCCCATGCCGCGAGAATCGTCGTACAGCGTGCGGCGGTCCAGCATCACCTCCAGCCAGCCGGGCTGCCAGCTGGCGGCGCCCTGGGCGTGGTTCACCAGCAGGCTCAGACGCCGAGTCGAATCTTGGATGTACGCCATGGTGGTGATTGGGAAATAGTTGCCTTCGATACCGATGCGTTCTACTTTAACGCGGCGCTGCATCTGGAATCCGTTGAGGTCGGAATAAAATTCCGGCGGGTCCCCGTTGCTGATGTCGCTGACTACACGCATGAACAGCTCCGTCTCACGATTCTTGGGCGGGGCCTCGAAGTCGATAATGTTCTCAATGTAAATGCCTTCACTTAGCGGTCCTGCAGCGTGGTAGATCCGTACCGAGTGCGCCAGAATAGAGCTGTACACAACAGTTAACTCGGACGCGATGGGACCGGACGTGATAACAATCTGTAAACTACGTCTCCCAGACGACTCGTCGGCCAGAATCTCCCTTTCCGGATCTCTGGAATTCGGATCGGGCATAAAGAGATACGCCCCGCTGTGGAACTGCGCCGAGGGATAGGCAGCGAACTGCAGCCCGCACTGCGTAGTGCGCCCGGTGGCCTTTCTGGTAACGGCCTTCAGGAACCCGGACCGCCCGTCAAACAGCAGCTTCATGCGATGGTTCTCCAGCTGGATGTCCCCGGCCTGCATGCCCTTGATCTCGAAGGGCGACACGTAGCTGGGGTCGCTGGAGCTGCGACCGCACGACGCGCAGTACACCACAGAGCGCGCTTCCAGGTTGCGCTCGGAGACCCGTTCCACCACGTACGTGACGAGAGACAGCGGCGGAAGATCCGCCACGAACATCACCTCGTAGAGGTCGCGCGCCATCTGCATGCCGCCGGCGCCGCCCCCGCCGCCGCCGCCTCCGCCCGCGCCGGCCGCCGTGCTGCCACTCTTGGCCGAGTCGTCGGGCTCGGGGCCGTCGCCCGCCTCGGTGCTCTTGGCGGCCCCGAACGAGCCCGTCATGTTCCACACCGGGTTGATCTGGAACGGAATCTCGTTGCCGTCCGAGTCCAGCACCCGCACGTTGGCCGTGGCCACCCGCACCTTCACCACGTCCTGGCGCTGCTGCGCCAGCGAGTTGAAGAGCACGATGCGGCGCGGTTCGTTGCGCGGCACCACCAGCGGCACCTGCAACAGGAGGCTTTCGTCACTCGCTGCACCGGGCACCACACCACTCTTAAATCTAGGCTTTTATCACTCGCTGCACCGGGTACGACACCACTCTATAATCTAGTATATGGCTCTCTATAAACTCAACAATAAATCATGAAAATTAATTAACAGTATATTAAAAAAAACTCAAAATGATCTTGCGACCAAAAAGTGATTGAAGAAAATAGTAATTTTCTGAATCACCAATGCATTAAGTTCTGCTCTCTGCTATATATTTTATAATTATTTCGAAAATTACATAGAAAACAATGTAACCAGGTAGCATATTGGAATGAATGGACAAAAATTGACGATTTTCCGACACAATTCGGGTACTACCTCCATAATATTCTAATGTCGATTAGACGGTAGAAACATCATATGAAGAGTGCTAGTGAATCATTAGCTAGCAAAAGTTACGTAACATTTACTACACTACACAAGTAAACAATATCCCTGCTGAAAAAAAAACAATAATTCGGTGTTTTGGTGCGCGCCATAACTCTAAACGGTTAAATCAGTTACGAATCAAATGGATGGCAGCAATTCCCAAATAGTTCTAGGACACCAGAGTTCTCGAATTTATACACTATATTTTTTTAGTAGCTTTCGAGAAAAATATAAGTAACTTTGTGAAATATGCGAGAATCAACAAACCAAAACGCATATTGTTCACTGGTGGAAAAAAATGAGTTTAATATGATATCGTGTAGTTTTTAATATATTGTACACGTTCCTGCTTGAGATTTCTTCAAACCGCATATTAACTCATTAAATTAAATGCGTTTTCAAGAAATCTTAAATCAAGAACGTGTACAACGTATTAAAAACTACACGATTTCACATCAAAATCAATTTCTTTTACCAGTGAACAATATGCGTCTTGATTACTTGTTCCTCATGTGAAAATTCCTTTAGTTCGTCGAGTTAGAGGAAAAATATTTCGTTTTATTACAAAAATTATAATATACCGTTTTGGAAGGTTGAAAGCAATCTGGATGTATCATAAATAAAATATCTCTATATAGTACGATGGTCAGTTCGAAGGTAATTTAAACGATAGTTAATAATGCTAAACCTTATAGACTAGAAAAATGAGACAATATTTTGTTACTGAAGGTAGCCGATTAACATAGAAATGTTTGAAATACGAGAATATAGTGTACTAGACTTCGATTTAAACATGAGTCCGTGCTGTTCCGTGTCGGAAATCTGGATCGAGAACGTCACAACTAAAGAGAGGATTTTTATGTCCTACAAAATCTTGAAATATGCATTTATGACCTACATTTTCTGAAACATGCGATTTAATACTCAATTAAAATTAACGATATTTCACATCCTCTATAAATCTTTCTTGATAAAATTGAGCAGAAGTATGCTTAGAATTAAAATACATATTTATTACAACTACATAACATTACATTATTTACCCCACTTCGCGAGATAAATTATTGAAGTAAATATTCACCTTAGTTAAGTTTATTGTATGTCTTCTTACTGGTTAAAAAAAGTTATTAAGAAATATCCTAAATTTTGACAAGTTTTATCATATACAGAAAAAATGCTAGCTATGATTAGCCCTTTCGAATCAATGAACGCTCACAAATAAATAGATTCAATGAGATGAAACATTTTAGGGAAAAGTCTCTATTTTAACGAAAAATGTTATAAATGCCCCTATAATTATACGAATACATACCTACAGGAAAAATCGGCAGAATATGCACAAAGCTGCACCAACATATTAATCTATATAGCATCATACTCTAACCAAATGCCGACTTAGCTATGCACTGAAGCAACGCACAAAAATAAGCAAAATCATAGAAATCAGCTCCCTAGTCAGTTCATTAGTAACGTTTAAGCTTCTGATCGGACGACATGGTAACAGCTGATTAGAGATACTATGGAAGTGACGTTTAAGATTCCGATTGGATGACACAGTAACAGCTGATGAAACATCAATGAACTCAATAAACATCAATTTTTAAATCGAAGTATATATTGTTTTGAGTTAGCCACAATATACCGAAGAGATGATAGCTTAAAACAATTAAGTTGTCATTTACACTAATAAACATTTGCACTAATAAACCAAAAATGTTGTTATGGGGCAAAATACGTTGTTCCGAACGGTGTCAAAGGATGTAATTTCAACGAGAAAATTGAGCGGGAGCGTGGAACCCACCTTCTGCGCCAGCTTCTCGTACGACTCGCGGTCCGTGTCGGGCAGCAGGAAGTTGAAGTGCGGCTGCGGGGGCTTGCCGAGCGCCGTCGCCTTGTTGTTGATCTCGCGCAGGTCGCGCAGCAGCAGCGTCTGCGCGCAGCGGCCCTGCACGAACACCGTGTCCTGGATGCCCTCGAACAGCTTGAGCGCGTAGTCGTGCATCACGAACGCCTTGGACGTGCCCGTGATGGCGTCGTGGTGCTGGAACAGCGCCAGCGCCTGGCGGGCCTTCGTCAGCCGCTCGAAGTCGCGCTCCAGCAGCTGGATCGTCTTGTTGAAGGCGTTCTGCCGCGCGCGGTTCAGCGCCACCGTGTACAGGATCTCCGCCGAGCGCAGGTTCGCCTCCAGCTCGCGGTCCAGGATCTTCCAGTAGGGACGGGTGGTGAAGTAACCGCTCCAGTACGCTGGACGGCCTTCCGAGAAGATGTCGCTGTACACGAAGAAGTCGCCTTTCAGCGTGTGGAAATTGTTGGTCCGTTCTTTGACGGCGGCGAAGTAGTCGGACGGTGTACCGAACGACACCTCCGCGTTGTATTTGTCCTTGTTTTGGTTGATGTAGTCGAATAGCATTTTGTAGTTCTTGTACTGCTGATCCCACTCGATGTCATGGTCGTAACGGAAGTCGTCACCTAACGGCATGAGGACGACGTTGTGAGGAAATAACGATCCTGTTCGTCCGTACTGCTCCAGAAGCAACTCGGCCTTCTGCTTCACGTTGTGTTCGTCGATTGGCACCGCCCGCACGGAGTATTCCGTGTACTCTCCGGGGATCTTCCGGAAGTCGAAGTTGAGGCAGACCTGAGGGTGCGGCCCGCACGAGTGCTTGATGGAGTAGATGTCGAAGGGCTGGTTGTGGACGAGCATGTCGGTGACGCCCTCCGAGTCCCAGTTCTGCCGCCAGAGCACGTCGCCCATCTCCTTCTCGGCCAGCCACTGCTTCCACGCGTAGTGAATGCGCTGGATGACGGTGCCGCCGCCGAAGCCCGCGGCGCGCAGCAGGTAGGGCACGGTGGCGCCGTGGCCGAACGGGTCGATGGACCAGCCCGACTTGGGCGCCAGGCCCAGGTTGTTCTTCACCCACTGGTGACCTGCAACAGGGAGCAAGAGCGTCGGTATCCTCGCAGTCTCGTTCAGATTTGTTTCTATACTATTAGAGACTATACCAAGCATCCAAAAGGAAAGTAATATTAATTTTAATGTATTATATATCATTTGGATTGTATAATTTTAAAGAACCTGTAACAAGTATTGTACTTCAGCTTCTGGGTCAATGACCCCATCTCGATCATGTTTGGCTTCTGGACATAAATGTAATTTCAAATTAACTTCCCCCCATAGCACGTCACACACAGTTTTTAACTGTTTTTGACGTAAATAAATGAAAAATAAATAAAAATAAATTTAGATTTAGATTTATTCAGTCAAAAACAGTAAAAATTGTATGAGACATATGATGGAAACGATTATATGCAGAAGCAAAAAAAGGGGACATCTCAGCATTTGCTCAACGGATGAGGGAAGCTGGACAAAACCCTGATCGAGATGGGGGTTCCAGAAAATTGTGGTGTTATTATGTTATGTTTTACATTTGTAAAAAGCTTTCCCACGTAAATGACAAATCAATAAACTGCACAATTAGACGACCAAAATATGTTGTTAGGAACACTGACTATCCCACTTATTTCAAAGCGAACTAGTGACAACAGCACATACTTTCTCGTATTCTTTCTAAGTTTGCAATTTTCGAAAATTCAGAGAGTTCAACTAATTCGAGACCTATCTCTTTCTCTTAAGAGCTCTTTACGGTAACCGAAAATTTGGATCCATTTTCGAGAAAACTTTAGTGTTGCGTGGCTTCATATAAAATACCCCTCGTCCCCCAAAAAAATATCCGTTTCAAACACGGATGGATCTCCAATTTATTTAAATCATCTGAACGACTTATGCGCTAGTATTTAGTAGACAGACAGACGTAGTATTTGTGAATGTGTGGTTTTAATTCTATAAAGGAAGGCTTTCTATTTCATTCAAGAAGAAGAATATTCAAGTAATGTGATAGTCATTCTGACGTATTCTCGAGAATGAGCATTTCTACTTCAAATAGAAACTATTTTGCAATAGAACAAGTTGAACGACAAGTAATTTTGTACGCCCTACAAAGTTAAATAAAAAATATGTTATAAGGGAGTTTGCTTTGAAAAAAAGTAGTTTTCTTCAAATTCCAATGCGTCAATATGTCGATTTCAACAAGAATAGACTAACATTTAACTATGAGCGAAGTGTCACGATTTACAAAATATAATGTATACTTCGCGTTTGTATCAAAAATGAGCTTGCATTGAAAAAAAAAGGATTTTTCTTCAAATTCCAATGCGTCATTATGTCGATTCCAACATGAATAGACTAACATTAAATTATGAGCGAAGTGTCACAACTCAAAAAATATAATGCGCGTTTGTATCATAACTGTTCTAATTTTATCATGGGCATGCACATCAAAGATACGGGTAATGCAGAATACTCAGAATATATAAAAAAATGGTGAAATCCTCCCAGAAAAAAATCCCATTAAGACATTCATCGTAATTCGAATAATAAGTGGCCATTGAGCCGAAGTAATTGTAACACAACCCTATTCAGTCTCACCAGTTTCTATTTCCCCACTCCCTACGATGAAGGGGGACATCGTTACGATCCGTTCTTAGCCGCAACGCATCCCCGCTTCGCACATTCACGACAGCCGCACAAAGCGCAGCGCCGTCATCTCCCTCTGCGGCCGAGGCCGGCTCCCCAGGCGCCGAAGGACGCAACATCGCATAAAAATGCCCTCTGCCGCCGCGCGACTGCGCCACCGGCGGCGCCGTCGACACCCCTTCCCGCTCCTCCTCCCCCTCCCGACCCCGCCCGGCCAACGCCGTAATTAAGCCGAGTCCGAACAAAGCGGCGCCGAGGGCGAAAACTCGCGCCACCAGAGTTAGGTGGGCAATTTCCTTATCGCGGTCACTCGGCGACGCTCGCTTGTTCGCCCATTGTTGGCCCCGCCGCCGTCGCCGCAACGCGTGTGCGAACAATGGCGTAGGCGGGCCACTCTTTATCTCTGGTGACGCCACCCTGGGGGGGGAGGGAGGGGGTGGCGACGGAGGCAATTGGCGCTGTATCGGCTGCAGAAAAGTTGGCGAAAGATTCGGAGGAGGAAGCGTGTGTGCTGTTGGGCGGGAGTGGAATCGGCGAAGATGAAGGTAAAGGGGGTAAGGTAATGATCAGAGAAGTTACGCATCTGGAAGCTGTGCAGATGCTGGCAAAGATAGCGGAAGATCAAGTGGTAGTAGCGACATTTACACATTTGAAGTCCGAATAGTGATAAGTTATATTTGAATTGGGTGATAGTGATGAAATAGTTAACATCTCCACAGTTTTGAGAATTGGGGTGAGAGTTTAACAGGGTGGTCCATGTGTACTAAAAGTACAAGCGTACCGTGAATGACCAAAGGTAAGCGGAGGTAAATTACTGGTTAATTACAGGAGCGACAAGCAGATGAGAGAGTAGAACTGTATGATACAAGCAATGGAATGTGAGGAAGTGAGTGGTAGGTGAGGTGTGGGATAAATATCAGAATGAGGTGGCGGAAGTTGTTAATGCAGAAAACAGGTAGACGCCGGAGTAAGTGCTTGAGATGAGATCGAGGGAACGAAGCGGTAAGGATGAAAAGAAGTGGGGGAGGCGGCGGGAAAAAAAGCAAGACACGTGTCAGCAGCAGTGAAACGCCATACGACGGTCGGACCTAGGGATACGACACCGATGTCGATGTTTTTCAATACATCGATGTTGTTATAAAATCATTGATGTATTTAACGTACATTTTTTTGAAGCCTATGTTTTGTTAACATCCATGTTTTTTGTGTTCCAAGTTTTAACGTGATCGATATTTTTTATATGAAAATGTCCATCATAAAAAAATCTATATCTTAGTGGTCAGCAGAGATCTTGAGGTAATTAATATTACAGATGAATGTTTCGAGGGTTTCATGTGGTCTGTACTCATTGTGGCCTGTTTACCTCTAATCGTTCATCTGTAAATTGTATCAGATACATTGAATATTATTCAGACCAACGTGACCACAGATAAAAAATAAAGAAATCGCGTTTTCATCAATAAAGAAGCCCCTCTCATATTTGAACTATCAGATAATGTAAGTCTTGTTAAATGTCCTGCTGATTACGTTACTTTGTTTTATCAGTTAAATCTCAAAAACTAATAAATGAGACCTCTTAAAAACTGAATCCCTCGGTCCACCACTTGATCTACAATGGTTCTTAATTCAGTTTTAAAAGCATCGATGGTTTTGTAACGATGTTGTATTAACATCGACGTCGGACCCCCAGTCGGAGATAGTCGATTACAAAATATGGATGATTACAAAACACTGACGTACAAACTTAAAACATCGATATTAATTATTCATTGTACCAAAAACCATCGATGTTTTTATACATCGATATTTAAAATATATATCGATGGATACAATATATCGACGGTTAAAACATCGAGGTTCCTATAAAAAACACCGACGTTTTGAAAACATCGACATCGAAGTCGCACCCCTAGTGAGAGCTGCGTGGTTCGGGCGGTGTCCGCCCACGCCCGGTTCGCGGCGGAAGCAGATGCGCCAACAATGGCGTCAACACGCGAGGCGACGGCGCGCGCTCGAAAAACGGCGCGGAATTACCACGGTGAAGATAAAGACCTGCTTTATTGAGGGTGTGTAAGATGGGTTTAGCGGAGCCTGCACGTCAACGCCGGTGGCCAATGGCAATCGAGGTGCTGGGCGGATCGGGGGACGGGAGGGAGGGGGAAACTGTAGAATCAGAAATAAAAGGGGGACGTTGGGGGAGACGAACGCGGCTCCCTTTAATCTACAGGGCGGCAGAGGGATGTTGTTGTCAGAAGTGTGCGAGAGTGTGTGTGTTTGTGTGCGTGTGTGTGAGTAAGTGTGTGTGTGTGTGAGTATCGGGGAGGGCGTCAGTCACCCCTCATGGGGACGTCACGAAGAAATGTAAAAGAGAGTTTGTTGTTTGAGAATGAATCATCCTGATGACGTGAATTCGTGTTGTTAAATATTTGTCAATATTAACATCTTAATCAGTAACCCCCGAAAGTTTCGTGAACAATTAATATTTATGACAAATGTAATATAGTATTCCTCTTTATTTTTCTTCAAGAGAAATTGTTTTATAATTTTAAAATATCGTGAGATTCATTAGCTATAAAAACTGTTATCCTGGGACTGAATTCATCAATTTCGAGCCTTTTGCATTACATTCCAGTAGAAGCCAAACCGAAAATATTTGTCATAGAGAAACACTCAGCAAAATTCTCGAGGTAATACAATAAATAGGGTGGTGTAAGTAGTCAAGTGTTCACAAATGGGAGAAGCTTCTCCACTTTTATTCCCCGGGCTGCTCGTTGTACTGACCGCGTTCCGGTGCCTCTCAATCCTCCCCCCTCTAGTGATCTTTACTGACACCCCTTTGCAGATCTTTATTACTTCCCTCATAACCTAAGCCTTTCTACCACACCCAAGATGAATTGTTTGATTGATGACAACGATATGATTTGAATGTTAATAGTTTCCAAATTTTTTAAAAACAGACACCTTTACACTTTTTTGGAAATTTAGTGTTAACCATATAACAGACGTCAAGTTGAAAGTCCTTGGAAGTCCCGTTTGAATAACCTCCGAAAAAAAGCATACGGCAAACTAATTCATTTCTATTCCCAACCTTAAAATATGTTTTGGATGTAGCATCAATGAAATGAAGGGTGAGGTAATCGAAAGAACTCCGATCGAAAATACCTCGATCCCGAAACCACTGAACTTTGTCCACTACAAATTCCACACGAATCGATCTGGATTGATGTTGCCAGAGCTGAAAAGTGTGATATCTAGCCACCGCAGCACTGAGACCCTGCGATCTTTGCATATCGAGAAAACTTCGATATCCCTCACAACCCACACAATACTTAAGTGTCTTTCTCGGTCGACAACTTACTTGGAAGACCCGTTTGAATCACCTCTGA